CGCGGAGCTGAGCGCGGAGCTGAGCGCGGAGCTGAGCGCGGAGCTGAGCGCGGAGCTGAGCGCGGAGCTGAGCGCGGAGCTGAGCGCGGAGCTGAGCGGGTCGGTTACCTGATGGAGCGTGAGCGTACGCCGGGGGTGCCTGTGGAGCGCTACCTTGGGAAGGTCCTGGTCGGTCCGGCGGAGCGTGTAAATGTTGTACTTGGGCATAGCGCAAAGGACTCAGAGAGAGCGATGCTGGAGCTTATCCCAGTGCTGCGCGAGACTGAAAGAAACTCTGGGAGAATGAGAAAGTTGGAGCTAAGAATGAGAGGAGCAGGAGGTGGGTCTGACGCTATCGTCCAATGAACGCTTAGCAGCAGCAGTTTGGCCGTGTGTGTGTGTGTGCATGGTAGGGTTTTTTTTTTCTCAAACTTGTTTCAACTTTGGGTTTTTCTCATGCACCTGTTATGTACATATCGGTAGGTCATCCGGGTCATCTGTAATAATTTGGGCCATACATCAAATTAGACATTTTGTCTTAGAGTAAATTTTGTTTGAAGTTTAGGTTTTTGCGATATTTACATCCCGGTAGGTCATCCGGGTCAAACTGTAATTGGGCCACACATCAAATTAGACATTTTGTCTTACAGTAAGTTTTGTTTGAAGTTTTGGTTTTTCCGATACGCCCATTATGTACATCCCCGGGTCGATCGCATCGTCATAACTACAAATATGAGTTCAAAGAAAAACGCGGCAATGTACATCAAATAGACTTAATTAAGAAAAGAAGATAATCCTAAAAAACTTGACAGGCTCTATATTTCTCCTTAAAGAATCCTAAGAAAAAACCATCCGCAGATATTTTTATTATGCCGAGCGGGTTTTCCTCCTTTGGTAAAGAAGCACAAGTACCCCCAAGTATCATCTATGGCCTTACCCCACTGGAAAAAGAAAACTACACGGGACTTGCATAGAGTGAGTATATTATTTGTTTTATACATGTTTTATGATAAACGCTATACATTAAAAATAACTATCATTTTTTATTTATTTTTAGAGATTCAGCTATTCTGGGTTTTTTTTTTTTTTCTACGAGAGACGGTGCGGATAGAAAACTCCATATAGTGAGTATATTATTTCTTTTATACATGTGATAAACGCTATACATTAAAAATAACTTCTTATAATAATAGGTATTCTCTGTGTTTTATGTACGAGAGAGACGGCGCGGAGCGGTCAAGAGAAAATCTACCAGAGACCTGAATCAGCAGGTATGGATGGAGCAACACCCCCTCCTATACCCGAAGCCTTATTAGATGAAATCGACAACATCAACAACGCTAATAATAATAATAATAATAATGATGAAAATGATGCGGTTTATCAAAAGTACCTCGCTCAACACGACTCGCCACCCGCAGCGTCTGGTGAAGCGAGGGCCCAAGAGCCCTGTTTCCTACCATCCTTTGAGATATTAATAAGCATGTTAAATTAAAGGGGCTCTGAAGCAGAAGCGGTTTCAACCCAAAATTGAAACAAGTTTGAAAAAAAAAAAAACCCTACCACGCACACACGGCCAAACTGCTGCTGCAGGGGGGGTGTCAGCTTTCACACACACACACACACACACGGCCAAACTGCTGCTGCTAAGCGTTCATTGGACGATAGCGTCAGACCCACCTCCTGCTCCTCTCATTCTTAGCTCCAACTTTCTCATTCTCCCAGAGTTTCTTTCAGTCTTGCGCAGCACTGGGATAAGCTCCAGCATCGCTCTCTCTGAGTCCTTTGCGCTATGCCCAAGTACAACATTTACACGCTCCGCCGGACCGACCGGGACCTTCCCAAGGTAGCGCTCCACAGGCACCCCCGGCGTACGCTCACGCTCCATCAGGTAACCGACCCGCTCAGCTCCGCGCTCAGCTCCGCGCTCAGCTCCGCGCTCAGCTCCGCGCTCAGCTCCGC